AAAATTCAGAGAACACAGACTGAAGCATGTAAGATATGTAGGGCACTTCACTCCTGGCTCCTTTTCATTCCATCTTTTAACAAATATTTGATATAGAAATTCCCCATTCAGATAATTTATATCTGGAAGGGGTTCAATATGGTATGCATATACAAACTTTGCAGGAAAATATATGAATATAACCATGGAAACAAATAGCAGAAGAATAGCAAAAATATTCATGAGAGAATAGACAATATTATGAATAAACATTACTCCAACAAATCAAAGAAACTAAAGAAAACCTGTTTTCTGAAACAAAAGCTCACATAAGAGATACAAGCACTCAAAGAAAAGAGTTAAATCAACAAATCTGCCAAAAATCAGTAAGAAAATGATTTAAAAAATTAAGGCTATTTTAGAAAAGAAGAGAAATGTGACAAAATATTCCACAGAAAGCACAATTAAGCACAGTGAGAAGAATTTGGCCCAAATGAATAAGTAAAGAGTAGAGCTGAAGTTCATACAACATGGGTATAATCAGTATCCAAGAAAAAGTAAAATAATGGAAGAGATCAAATGGCCCAGACATTCAGATCATTTTCTGAAATTAAAAATAAAAATCTATAGTTTATGAATGTACATTTTTAGAGGAAATATTGAATAAGAAATGAATGTCAAGACATACACTGGTGATGGTAATGAACTATGGGAATAGCAATCCTACAGGGCATCCAATATTTTCAAGTTTTTTGAAACACGTTTTAAGGCTCCCAAGTATAATCTATCTTGGTACATAATCTGTGAGCATTTTAAAAGAATGTGTAGTAGTTTGCTGTCATTGAGTGTTCTATAGATTTCAGCTATGTCCAGCTGCTCACTAATTTTAGCATTCCTACTAATTTTCTATTTCTTTTTTTAATCACTGAAAGGAGAATATTGAAATTTCCATCTATGTTTGCCTATTTCTTCTTCCAGATGTAACAGGTTTGCTTCATACACTCTACATCTGTTTTTGGATTTTATGTATTTATGATTTTATGTCCTGAATTTACCACATTATTATGAAAGAGCTTTCTTATTTATGTTAATATTTATTGAAATCTACTTTTTCTAATATTAGCCAGTGTGCATATAGGCATATGTGTATGTACTAACATGCAAATTTGTTTTCTATCCTTTAACTTTTAATCTAATATTGTTCCTTACAGGCAATCTTTACTTTGAATGATTCTGTTATGAATGGCTTTCAGTTACCACAGTTGAGTTGAATAATATTACTCCTTAAACAGCAGGGTTCAAATTCCAGTTACCATGGCATAGTCACTGAGAGTAATTTTATAAACTGTAACGTTGACACGAGCCACAAATCACTGCATTAAATAACAGATGTAACCTTTTTTCAAAGTTTTTCATTGATTGGCCGTTGCACATCTGTTTTTAATTTCATGCACAGACAGCAAAGCATGTACTTATATTGCCTTCTTCCTCCCAGCAATAGACTCACACATCACTTCACAAAAATAGATATCAAAAGAGGAACCTGTGCAAGATGAAAGATGAAAGTACAGTCAGGAAACAAAGAGTGATAATATTATAAGGGAAATTCAAATCGAATGTAAATGGAGTTATAGGAGAAATAACTGACTGTGGGAATGTTGAAATTGCCACTATTCACAAGACTAGAGCTGTGCAGCTAGAGGGACGTAGCGAAGACAAACTTAACACAAATTGGCAAAGTGGTCGTGACAAAAAGAATTAAGGTATTCCAGAGGCACTGATGCTAGCAAAAACTTCACATTAAAGGATATCGTGGGGATATTTCACAACTAACTTGAAAGCAAAAGGATAAAATGTATAAAGTAGACGGAGAAAAGAGTATGACAAATTGCTAAGGTATGATCAAAAAGCACTTCCTTACGTTATACATTATACCAGGAAAAGGAGGCAAGCACTGGTCAAACTATTTCTGATATTATTTTTTTACAAATAAGTAAAACACTTAAATCCTGGATGTTTCTAATATTTTAAATTACAGTGTATTAAACTACTATTTTTCATTTTTCTATACATTTGTAACTAACAGTAAAGGGATCTTTAATATTCAGACAAAATATTTTAAAGTTAATGGGACAACTGCAATTTTTTCTTTGACCAAGTCTGTTTTTTTTGTTGTTTGTTTGTTTTTGTTTTTTTTTGAGACAGAGTCTCACTTTGTTTCCCAGGCTACAGTGAGTGCCATGGCATCAGCCTAGCTAACAGCAACCTCAAACTCCTGGGCTCAAGCCATCCTGCTGCCTCAACCTCCCGAGTAGCTGGGACTACAGGCATGCGCCACCATGCCCGGCTAATTTTTTCTATATATATTAGTTGGCCAATTAATTTCTTTCTATTTATAGTAGAGATGGGTCTCGCTCTTGCTCAGGCTGGTTTCGAACTCCTGACCTTGAGCAATCTGCCCGCCTTGGCCTCCCAGAGAGCTAGGATTACAGGTGTGAGCCACCGCGCCCGGCCTGACCAACTTTGTTTATCACATTTTCAACTTGCATGGTTATTTTTATTGTTCTATACTACCATGCAAAGTGAGAACTGCCTGTATTTAAAGTAGGTGTTTCTGTAAGATAAGAGAAATGCTTTTTTACCCAATTGGGAGTCTGTACATACTATGAAAACATAATGGTGATTAAGATAAAATAGTGATAATTTACAAGAGGAAAAAATGTTATTTATAGATAATTTCCAAATAAAACATAAGACAGAATGTTAGAAAGAAAATTTTAAACACATTGCTCTGTTTGATTCAACTCTGCCAGCAAGATGGTATAATTTTATAAGTTGTGATCTCAGCATGATCAAGTATTTTTAAAAAGTCATTTTCTAAAATCAAATTATAATTAAGCTAAAATGATGCAGATTTAATGAAAATCTTAGTGAAAGGCCTGACAAATAGGTATTCATATGGGGTAGTTCACAAAAATCATAATAATTGGGATTCTTTGGCATAGTTTAAGTTGGTTTGCTTAGTCTGTTTTTTCTTTGTAAGTTCCCTTTATCTATAGGCACTATCAATATTGACAGTTTCCCATGGTACCACGATAGCATTTGCTCAACATTTTGCAGATGTGTGCACAAAGATTAAAAGACAAAAGTCAGGTTTTAATTCCCTAGCTTCAGAGGTTGCTCAGCCCTCAGCCTACCTTGATGTCATACAATTGTCAAGCTCTGCTTTCTGCTCACATATTTATGTTCTCAATACCTCTCAGTTCCTGTCTGAGGATTCCTTACACGTAGTGCCTACCCCTTTATAAAATCAATTCCCTCACTATGTAAACATTTAAAGTGAACTCAGGAAGTTCACATCAACTATTCATAATTAATTTAATTTTCATTGCTTGCTTTAAAACTCAAACATTAGTAAAAATGCAACTAAAATGGATTCTGCTCCCACCTCTTCTCAATCTTAGTTCATTCCAGCTGCTATAACAAAATACCTTAGATTGGGTCATTTATAATCAGTGGAAATTTCTTGCCCTCAATTTTAGAGGTTGAGCAATCCAAGATTAAGGTGCAAGCAGATTCAGTATCTGGTGAGGGCTCTCTGCTTCATAGAACCTTCTTGTTTTGTCCTCAGGTGGCAAAACAGAAACTGAGCTTCAGGTCTGCTTTATAAGGGCACTAATCCCATTCATGAGGGCTTCACCCTCCTGACCTAATCACCCCAAAGGCCCCACCTCTTAACACCATCATCTTGGGGGTTAGATATTTAACTTACAAATTGGGGCTGTATCAACATTCAGACCATTCACCTTCTCACCCCCACAATTCTGGGAGTCTTAAAGTGATGGAAAGTGAGGATTTTGATAAGGAGAGAGGTAAAAAGGGGAAGAAGGGAGGTCAGAAGTTTTTCCTTACTTGTCCCTTGTTGCCCTCTCTTGATTTGCAAGTTTTACATCGTATGTTTCTTATTTTAGTGGTAACTATTAATGTTTAATACTATAATGTATATTTTTCTATAAAATTTAATATTTTGGCAATATCATATTGCTATGCAAAACAAACGTATTGGTATTCTTTAATTACCTATACCACTCCCTTTTTATAATGTTTGTATAGAATTTGAAGTCAGACTATTTTAATATGAAAAAGAACATGAATTTTATATGATTTATAATTTATTTGATCTATATTTATGAGATGTGATTTATATTTTATATAACATTATTCTTTACACTTGTTTTTTCCATTTTATTTCTTCCCTCTAGATTTACTTTCTTAGTGCTAAAAGCATATACTCTAAATGCTTTGGTAAAATATTTTAGTTTTTTTAAATCTGTAAATCCCTTATTTACAATCAGTCTTAAAAATAGTTTATATGGGAAAATTCTAACTTAAAATTTGTTTTCTGTTAATTTATGGAGTAAGTTAATCTATTTTCTTGTAGTTTTGGTTGCTGTTGGTAATAGGGTGTCTTTAATAATCACTTTTTTTTTTTTGGTACTCTCACTTGTCCTTGATAGCTTTTGACACTTTCTCCTTTTTCTTGGTGTTTTGTAGTCCATGATATGTGTCTGGGTGTGATTTTTTTCTCATCCTTCGCATTATTAGATGGGTTCCTGCAAAACTCACATTTTTTTAATGGAAATCTCTAACTTTAGCACTTCAATTCCAGCTCTTTATTCCTGGGACTATTCTTAGCCATACTGGAGTTGCTAAATCTATCTTCTATAAAACCTTAATGCTTTATTTTTCACATTTATTTACCTCCTTAAGTATGGAATAAATAAAAAAAATACAGGAGCTATATTTAGTATTATTTTAAAATTTTTTTTAGTTTTCATTTTACTTTATCCTTCTGAAGATTTTAAGTATTGTACTTTCAAGAAATTTTTTTATTTTAAATTAATTTACCTTCTTATTGCTAATTTGGTGTTAGTTTTCCTCATATTTGTAACTTTAGCTTGAAAGCTTATTTTGATTGAAACATCATTCCTCTCTCTTTTTCTACCCATCCCTTTGTCTAGAAATCTTGTGGTTGCCTCCAAGCCATCATGAAGCACACTTTAAAATCAGATCTTTCACTGGTATTCATGGGCTCCCAACTGCAATGACAATGGATTCATTCCTTTAGCCAGGTGGGATTTCGCTTAGTTCTTGCATGAGGTGTTTTTTCCATCGCTCCCTCATCTACTGCAGCTAAACAGCCCTATGGAGCCACACGCCAGACGGTGGTTCCAGTCCTTTTGAGGTTTCTTTCACATAAGTGGAGTTCTTCCTCAGCCTTCAGTTAAATGAAGTAGAGAAGCCTGGATTGTCTATTCCATTACTTATGTGAACCTCTGGTCTCTGCTACTCACTGCCAGACACTTCAGTCTAGTTCTGGGTTATAGTTCAGCAGACTCCCATCCTAGATTCAGCTCATATATTTCATCAACACCCTATATACGTATTTATTTGTGTCCTCATATGTTAGTCCAAGTTCTTGAGAAGCAGATGCAGATATCAGACAAGACAAATTATGGAAGACACGTATTAGGATAATGTTGCTGAGAAAAAATAAGAAGGGAGCCAGAAGAGGGTGGGGAAGGACCTGAGAGAAGGAGGCAGAGAAGGAAGCTTGTGTGTTCTAAAGAAAGTTGAGCAAGGCCACTGGGGGAAAGCATCAAGCCAAAGTCACATGTCAGAGATATCCTGCGTCTATTAAGAGCAGCCTGACTTGGTATCATTGTCACTGGCTGGGAGTAGCATAGGATGCTGTGTGAACACTGGATGTCACAGAATTTGACCATCAGTCAATTTGCTCCTCATAGTTGGAGATCTGAGAGGCGGGTTCTTATGGCCATCATGTCTTATCATGTTGTTTCACTTGTGTCTTTTTCAAGGAGCACAGATAATACTTTCAATTAAAGATGGCACAACTGATCATATATGTTGAAGTTTCCTCTTCTTACACCAAATACAAATAACCCAAAACAGAGGAAAATGAAATATATAACCACTGTCAAAGAGCAGGTAAGAACTTAAAACATATGAAAAACCGAGAGGATATACTGAAAAGAGATGGAGTTTGATTGCTGAGTGAAATCAGAGCCCAGAAGACATTCAGCAGAGTCTTGCTACAAACAGTAGATGTCCCATAAATGATTCTCCATCATCAATAAAGTGGGGTACAGGAGGGTCCTTGGGGCAAACTACAGGGTGACTGGATAAGGCAGCAGCAGTCAGTATCAAGATAGTAGCAGCAAATTCAAGACCTTGGGTCAGAGGGGCCCTAACTCTCCCCCTTATGGCTTCTGTAAAGACTGGTTAGATGGGTTAGACAGCAAGAGGACATTAGGTAACTGATGGGAGAAGTAGTTTAAAAGACCAAATATACACAGTGAAGGCAAATTGCACTTTAGAGTTTTTCCTAGGCTCTGACTTATTTGTAAAGTCTTATGTGAGCTGGTCCATATTGATAGAAAGTGAATTTTATCCTAAACTTTATTGCTTCTTTAAGCAGTACATTAAAAGAGAATATTCTTACAGCTTCTGTGGCTGTCTAAAAAAAAACAATGAATTCCAAGCCACCTTTTAAATTTTTGAATTCTAGAGCATCTCCATTTTCTTCTTCCTTTCTTCCTTTTTTCTTTATGACCTCCCCCCCCAATGATGGCAAATACAGTGGAGCTTCATTACATTTACATGTGTTGTTTATGAAGTAAATGTAGGACTCCTGATATCTACCTTTGGAATTATTTGTCATACAACATGCCTTATAGCCAGAAAATACACTTTGTAGGTGCTTAATTTTTTTGTGAGCATCTTGAATGATCTATAGACACAAATATAAGTTTTTGAGAAATTCTCATTGGATCTTTGGTTGGGGCAATAAGACAGAGTTACTTCATTTTAGCACATATTTGACTAAAGCCCTACTTGGTCATTGTATTTTCTTTCTGAACAGATATTACAAAACTAAAAGTTTCATAGAATTAGTCTTATCTGCTGCTTATATTGGCATATCATGTGGGCTTAGGGAAAAATTAGCTTGTGTAAGACAATACAGTTAAAATACTTGAAGACTACCTAGGTGGACACATAGGTGCTACAGTAATAGGGTATTGGGCAGGGGGGAGCGGGGAGGGGGGCGGGTATATACATACATAATGAGTGAGATGTGCACCATCTGGGGGATGGTCATGATGGAGACTCAGACTTTTGGGGGGGGGGAAATGGGCATTTATTGAAACCTTAAAATCTGTACCCCCATAATATGCCAAAATAAAAAAAAAATACTTGAAGACTTTCTTAATAAAGATGGTATTTTAAATAGTCATATAATAGTACAACACATCAATGTTTTATAAAGAATGTAATTTTTCAAACACTAAATATAATAAAACACTGTTCAAAAAATGTTAATATCAAAGTTCAAGAATAAAAAGAAATGTGCTCCAGAAAAATAATTACTATGAAACACAACCCTGATTACTCCTTCTACTACTTAATTAATTAATTAGATGATTTTTTCTTGCAGCACCTACTGTTGTTTAGGCATTACAGAGTGTCCTACTGATTTAAAGATATGTTTACTAAATATTTGTTGAATCAATGTTGGATACATGGAAGAACACAGTACTTCACCTCTAGGCTCTTCCACTCCACAGAAAATATGATAAAATAAATTCTCATCTCATATAAGACCAGAAAGACAAATATTGAAAGATAATTTCTGAATGGTTTGGTTCAAAATGAATGACTAGATTCTTCCCTGAGGTTAATAGGAGATGTGAAGCACAGGGGGAAAGTGTTCATTAATCACTCTCCTAGTACTGTGATGACTGCAAACACTTTTCTTGTTACTTGAGCAGTCCCTATGTCATCTGCTAGCTCAGGTGACATTAGGGAGCATGAGTAAATAACTGGTTACAGGGGAGCCTTAGGGCCCCACCTGGGGAAATTCTACCTCTTAGCTCTCTCCAGCAACCTGGAAGTTGGTTCTGAGCTTCCTTCAAATGATGGTAGCTGGAAACCAAGTTCTCTCAGGCATTGGGTCATTTGTACATCTGTTTAACGTTTTATCTGTCTTTCAAATAAGTCACTCTCATCAGTATTCCAATGTACTTTATTATTTCCAATTTAAAGAGAAATCTTTTATCCCCACACGTCTCCACTCTATCTCATACTTTCCTGTATTGGTAATTTCTTAAAAGTGTAATCTACACAGGGTGCCTCCAGTTTCTCATTGATCATATTCCACTCCAATCTGGCAGCTAAACTCAGACATCTACTTTACAAAATCCAGTGGGCATTTTTAAAGTTCTTATCCTACCAAGAACTTGAACAGTGTTTAATTCAGTTGCACCCATCCTCTTCCTTCAACTTTTCTCCTCTCCTGGCTCCACCTTAACCACTGATCCTTCTGTAACTCTGAAATACTTCTCAGTCTGTTCTCTTTCAAGTTATTCTTTTCATACAATCTCTTAAATATTGTATTTCTTTCAAGGCTCACTCTCTGTTCCTTTCCTAGATGGTAGAGACCATTCCCATGGTTTTAAATATTACCCATATATCAGTAGTTCCCAATTTTATATTTCCAAACTTGATAAGCTTTAAACTCATATAGCCAAATCCCTAGTTAACAATTAGATGTGGATATCTCTCAGATAGCTCAGACTTCATATGCCCAGATAGGCACCTTGACATTTTCCTTCCTCTTTTTAAATCATTTAAAATACACGGAAATTTTAAGATAGTTTTCTTTTCCTCTATTTTCTAAAATGTAGAATTTTATTTGCAGAAAACAAATTAACTTGAGGTAACACTATATAAGAACTGTATCTTCTCTTATTATAGCAGACATATATTTATAGCACTCCTATAATCAATTACTTCTAAATCTCCTTAATCAACAAATATAATGTTAAATACCCCAATTTGTTCCTTTAGGTTTCTTAACTCCTGTTTCCAAACCTTCCACCTCTAATACCATTTCAAAAATTACACTAGTTTGTATTTTATTTTAGATCTAATATATTTTGAAAATACCAAATAAAGGCTCATTGGTTTCCTTCTGAATTGTTTTATAATTTATAGGTACATTTTATCTTTTTACATGTATAGTTTTCATTGCAGATTATTTTACATTTTGTTCAACACACATCCTTTTCTTGTAAGCAATGGCTTAAATTTTATCCCTTACATTTTTATTCCTTAACTTTTATTACTTAACCTCTTTAATAAAGACAGAAATCAAGAAATCTCTCCCTTGATAATATTTCTAGTAGACATTTTTCTTACAGAATAATGTATTCATGAGAAATAGTATCATATCATGATATTGGTTGTAAAGGCACAGAAAACTCAGTGTAGATCTGCAACCATTGGTTAAGCCAGGCTTTCTTAGTAATGAAAGGGCGAAATAACAAGACTTCTCTGATTTTTTCTCACATTCCAGAACATTTGTGGGAAGTATCTACTAGTAATTATTTAGAAAAGCTTTAGCAAGATCCAAATGTTCTGTTGCATCTTTTACTAAATAATGTACTTAGTTACTTAAGCTACCTTGCTTTCTTTCTGGAGTAGAATGGCCATAATTTTCTGTAATAAGACTGATGACTCTGATCCCAAAGGCCACTGGACAGTGTTGCCCAAAAGCTAGCCTGGCAGATGTTCCCCAACATTCCAACAAGTAAGAAGTAGGACCCTTCTGTGTGGCTCATACTCATGCTATTTTTCAAATAACTGATTTGAAAATTTCTGCTTCAAAATAAGAAATAGACTCTCAAACCTTGGTGTTCAAGATAGACATCCAAAAAGAGTAAGAGTTTTATTCTTGAAAATGATAGTAACCATAAAATATTTAAGGCATATAATTAAAAAATGATAATTATAGAAAAAAATATTATTACTGCCATGACATCTAGAACAGGCTACATTTAAGTAATAAGTTTACTCAAATTATACAAAAACTAGTAACACTTTAATTGAAGTATAAAAAGTCTCCATGTTTATAAGAGCAAATGAGATATATAATTCAATTTGTAGCATTTATTAATTTGAAAATTATGCAATTTTATGTTCTGAAAGTAATAAAGATAACTGGAAAATTTATAAATTAAAAATTAACTTGCATTTTCTTAGAAATAAATTTTATTAATATGTTGGGATATTTCCTGTCAGGCATTGTTTTTCAATGTATGCAATATTTATTATTTAATTAAAATTATAATTTGTGTACACGTTTTACTGCCTTTTAAGTTTCATCTTGTACTGAACATTTTTTCATGTCTCTAAATAGTCTTAGATAAAACATTTTTATTGGCTACCTATTATGCCACTGTTTTTACTGACTTATGTAAGCTTCCTGTATTTTTTTATGTAGATCATTTTCAGTTTAAATATTGTAACTAGCTGTTTGATAAAAATCACATATAAATTCCAAATCCACCAATACTTATGCTTTATTCTGTTTATTAGAAGTGAGTCTCTAGACATAGTCCATAGTTAAGGGGAGGAGTCTCAGGTTTGACCTTTTGAAAGAACAAACAGCAGATTTTGTGAACTTATTTTAAAACCAAAAATAGAAATAAAATGCTCAATAGTTGGTTAGAAAAGGACATGGAAATTTGATTGACAAATTGTATGAAGATTTCATGGAATGAAAGAAAATACAAAATAAAATGTTGCCACCAAGTAAAAGAAGAAGGACTTTTGGGTGTCAAAATATAAGATGCCTACTTTTCAAAAACAAAATACTACTTTATTTATATATATTGATACCTGCTCTTATATGTATTACTTTTCTTCTCTTTTTGGTTTGCTTTTTTATTCTTTTTTTTCTAAATAGTTAAATTGAATAAATATTTTACTTATTTTTTCTGATAAAAATGTTTAGGGGAGTGATTTTGCATTTAAGAATAGCATTGGTGTTAGCTCTGGTTATTTTTATTCTTTATTAAACTATAAAATACTGAAACTGCTTTAAACTCCAGACATGCTTACCTAGAAATATTATGTTCATTTCGAAACACTGAAAGGGAAATAAACGATGCCATTGCCAACGCCCTCTGAATTAGGAAACTTAGACCTTTAACACCAGATAACTCCTGATGCCACATGTGACCCAAGGAGCAGCTGAGACTTCCAGTTTCCATCTGAATATAAAATATAAAGGTAAATTTTAATTATCTCTGTTTTCTAATAAGATGATAAAAAGGAAAACAAAACTTCTGCCTTTAGTCATGATGGAGTAACAGGCAGTGGATTTACCCTCCTGCCTGAAACAACTATATAACTAGCTAAAATACATGAAAATGATTTTCAGGCATTTGACACAAGGCAGCACAAGACAGTGATTCCTCAAAGAGGGGAAACTATTACAAGATGAGCCCCATGTCTTACTGGCTTATTGTCTGAAGAGTTTTCAGACTAGAGTGTGGGGAGAAACATGGATGGTCTCAAACTCTTATCCAAAGTAAAGACTACTAATATTTTACAACCTGTAAATAACTCAGCAGCCAGTGGGGGAAAACAGGGTGTGATGGGAAGGCAGGCGGTTATTGTTGCTTATTCTTTGTTCTGTATTCAAATATTATACTTGAGAACTGCTCTTTAATGCCAAGTCTTTGACCCACTAATAATGCCTTCTCTGAAAATTTCCTTATCCTGGAATTGCACAATCCTGCCTTCAACTTTGGTTAAGTGGTGCCCTTCCCTTTTGTCTGTGTTCTTTTAACATTATTGTAAAAGTCTTTTTTTAACGAAAAATCTGGACAAAAATGTTCAAAACTTTCAGTAACCTATTATTGATACTAAGACCAAAGCATACCTAAACATAGTTACTAGACGATAGTGCCTATTGCCTGTTTGATTGATTCTGTATAAAAACCATTAGCGTGGTGATATAAAGAATCAAATAAAAGTGAGTAATAATGTAATCTTATTTTATGTTCATAGAAAATGACAACTTATATGGGATTCTATACTTTACATAGTCCCTTCCCATTACCATCAGGAACAAATAATTGGTGATCTGATCTGGAAGAATAAACTGATCCCAGGAGGTAGAAGAATCTAGATGTTCTCTTTCATAACTTTATTAAAATGGAAATTGCAGCATAACTTTACTCTGTGTTATTTTTTCAATTGATTCAGAATTGGATATTCAATCATTTTTTAATAGCTTTAAGAAAATACAGTTTATGTGTAAGAATAAATTAGAAAACCTCGGTAAATCGATTATGTTTCTAACATTAAATAAAGCCAGACAATTGATCCACATTTCCCGTCTACAGAATGCTGCATTCCAACTGACATTAAATCAGAATCAGGGACTATTTTAAGTTATATTATCATAGAAGAAATGGAAATTAACTCTCATTGAACTCAATAGAAGATATAGCAACATTTGAAAGAATAGGGGCTACTTTTCAATGGTAATTGAAAACTTAACTAGTTTTCCAGTAAATTTTATCTAATTCTCACTGAAAACTTACTCCAACCTCCGTGTCCCTTCAGGGCACTGGAGAAAGACCCACTACTCTCCCAGTGCATGGAAATCCACGCTTTGATGCGTGCCAGCCTATGAAATGGTCAAATAAAACTGAACAAAGGAGTAAGGTGATGGTAAGGGAGTCTGTGATTCCCAATCACTGGATGTGTCACTGAGGAACACCTTGGCACATAGAGGAGAATCATCGTCTTTTCACCTCACTCAATACCTTTTTCTGCCTGGCATCATGACCAAATCTAACAAAGGTGACAATATACACAAGCTGAATCTCACAGGTCTCCTAATCGATGGGCATTGACTGGGAGCAGAATATATGATAGTCTTAAGTATTAATGCTGGTTGAATTTCAGGGTCAGGAGTAGGCATTAAGTTCAGACCTATTACCTCCCTTTTTGTTTACATTTTATCATTGAACCAAAGAAGTATGCCCATGCCTTCCCCCCTACATACTAATGAAGTAAACTTTCATTAATTCCCCTTCAAGTTTTTTCATTATAATCCAGATGTATTTGTTAGAACTGAAGTCAAAATGAGCCTACGTCAATGTACAATTTATCCCATAATCCATAAGTCTTTTATAATGACAGTGTCATATATTTTTAAATTTTTTCAGATCTAAGGAGAGATAATTGGTAATGTTCTTTAGGAAAATCAAAGCAAATATTCTTGGAATGAGGTAAAAGAGATGTAACTGAGAGTCCAGAGAAGACTCAGAAACTCAGCATTCTCTTTAAAATAGCAACTTTGGAATCTGGTTTTTTAATTCCTCTTTTAGAATAATATGATTTTACCATGCATTAAATACCAATTTATGTTTATTACTTTCAGCATAATTATTTTTATGGATTATTTCATATTACATTTATTCAAGCTAAAAAAAAGAAAGTCAAGTAAATGTTGATGGTTTGCTGTTTGCTATCTTACCAAGAAAAATTGATGTAAACCAGTGGTACTGATTGAGGCAGGGAAAGTAAATGACCAAATAACAAAAACAAACATCAAAAACTTATCAAAAAATGCAGGATTGTTGTAACAGAAATATAAATCCTGCCATACTCATTCCATTAACACATATTTACTGAACAAGTGCTAATAAATCTCAGAAGTTTTGTTGCACCCTGTAGATAGAAAACATAAGGTATAATCCTGACCTCAAGTGATTATATTTTGGAGTTAAAATATACATTAGGAAAATACATTAGGAAATGTATTTAGGAAAATACATTCACATTAGGAAAAAAGAAGGTTAAAATCTGTAATTATGCATGTTATATATAGGTATGTAGTATTTGTCACTGGAACACATTACAGGGACACTACAGACTGCTATGGAAAAGGAACAGTCCTAATTAAAAAACAGAGTTAACTAAATAAAAGGAGACTGTGGGGTAGAAAAAGGTTTTCTGTGCAGAAGGAAAGACAAAGACAAAATAAGGTGGTAACAGAAAATATAAAATGTTGCCAGGCGTGGTGGCTTATGCCTGTTATCCTAGCGCTTTGGGAACCTGAAGTGGAGGATGGCTTGACACCAGGAGCTTGAGACTAGTCTGAGCAAGAGTGAGACCTCATCTCTAATAAAAATAGAAAATAGCCAAGCATGGTGGCACATACCTGTAGTCCCAGCTACTTGGGAGGCTGAGGCAGGAGAATAGCTTGAGCCCTGTAGTTTGAGGTTGCAGCGAGCTATGATGATGCCACCGCACTCTAGAGAGCCTGTCTCTAAAAAACAACAACAAAAATGAAGATACAAAATATTTTAAAACTGCAAATAATTTAGTATGAAGGGAGGATGAGGGAAAAATTCATGCAAATATATTTATAATTTTGAGTTGAGAAAAAATGTTCTAAATCTGATACCATGATACCACATTAGGACGGGAAAGAATAAAGAAGTAGGTAGACCTTAGGGCCCAACTGCTGTGGTTCATATCTACAGAGTAAGTGTGACCTGGGAGAACAAATGTGTCAGATGTCAGCACTTCCATTTCCTTATGTGAGAACTGGGAATAATAATACTTTTTTAAAAAACTGCATGCAGCATTGTTTTCAGGATCAAATTAAAAATATCTTTAGAAGTTATCTAGAACCATGCCTGACACATAATAAGTATTCAATAAATGTTAGCAATTACTGATATTAACAAAATCAGAAACTGTGAAAATATTGATAGATATCATTAGATATAGCACAAAAATAAATTTTATAGTTATAAAATTGTGCTGAAGTAGGTCGATTACACACGGCGAGATAACTGAAGGGATTCACAATACTCCTCTGTGTGTACTGAGTCGTGTACAACTTTAATAAAGGCTGAAGATAAAGAAGGAGAAATGCAGGTGGCACTGGAATTACAATAGTTTTCAGGCACATCCCCACAGGGGCCTTTCTTGGGCACACTGGATGAGCTTCATCTCCAGATTATGAAACACCAAGATATGCCTGAGGAATCTTAGCTTCAGGAACCTTTTATACCCTACAGATCATGTAGCCAAGCCAGGCTGTAAAGACTGATAAAGCCAGGTACAGATCATCATTCCATACATTCCTAAGTAATGCAAAGAGGCTAGTCTTTGGTGTCTCAAGGATAATTTTTGAACTTTCACTAGTACATCATCAATCACTAGCTAGTTCATTTCATCCTAACCTCTGCCAAGTGTTGGTCTCAGACTTATAGATGTCTCCAAAGATGACCACAGAGCTTCCCCAGTGCCAATGTAAAATAATTTTATCTTATGTAGTCCACATTCCTGACTCATGTTCAAACTTTTTAGAATTATAAATCATTATCATGTTTTTTGTGTATTTTTACCATTTATTAAACAGAAAAGGGAAATATCCAAAATACTAATTATCTGTATCATTCAGTAAAGTGTAGTATTTCTTCAAAGAGATATTTCAATTGCCAAGTATTCCAGCCCAAACATGTTTGTATTCATGCAAAAGCTCAATAACTCTTTTGCCTCCTTTCACCAGTAAAATTTCAACTTTGTGAATGGTCTCACAAAGATCAACTCAAGTAATAACTTAATAATTGAATAAATCTAGTTACTCCCATAGCCAGCCTGTTTCCAGCATGACACTTTGTAGAGGTTTTAACATGATCGTCAATATCAGTATTATCAATCCAATTAACTGACCAATTACATCAATATTATTATTAAAAAAAAAACAGTTGTATTGCAAATTAGAAAAAGATTATTAGAAGGTTAGTCAGTTTTAAATATAAAAACATTTTCTCAGCCTTTCCAACAAAAGCAACCCATGCCTATATAAGAAATGTCATGGATGAGGGTATAAACCAAAAGTGAAATCTCAGCTAATTTTGGATTATAAATCTCTTATGGGAAGAGCCATATGTCTTATTTTATGATATAAGGCTATACTGATATGGGTTCCAAATGTGCTTTAAGTAATGCTCATTTATTCCCACTTAAGAAATCAGTCAAGTTTAATAGATTTCCAATTGCAACTACACTATGGGATATATATGGTTTTTGTTTATGAGTGGGGCCTTGGCAGTTAGAGGACACCTATTCAAATTACATTATCCAATTTCAAATTCTCATAGGCCAGGGGGACCATAAATCTCCCATAAAAATCACTCCTTGTGCTCCTGCTGCCATAATACCAGGCCATTACCCTTGAGCAGATAAAGCAACATTAGAGTTATTCTAAGTATTCTTTATAAGGTGTTGTTAGTGTCATCTCCACATAACAAATAAATGACTCCAGATTGAACTTCTTAAATTAGCAGAGGCACATGCTGGACCTTCAACTCAAAACAAATGAGGTAATTTCTGCACCTTTCTGGCATCAGTAAATATAGCTAAGAGACAGTATCAGTTTCTTGCTCTCCATCTATATTGAGGCCCCAAGGTAGTGTAGGCACTTCCTTTTGAATTACCATTTATCAGTTTCCTATCCAAGAGTAACCACCCCTCTTTCTTTCCATTTGTTATTAACTTTCACCCAAAGCCTCTAGGGGAGGGGATCCAGGTTCTGTTAAAGGACTGATGGCTTTCTGAATGGTGGCCAAAGCATTCTCTACTTGCATTACCAGTCATATGGAGTTATGTATAAGCTATACACAAGCTTATATAGATTATTTAATCTTCTGTGTAACAAAGAGGCAGAGACCATTAATCCTAACTTAGACAGGTGAGAGAAACCAACAGCCTATTCCCATCACTCCTTTAAGAATCGGGGTAATAAAATTTTGAGGTAGTACTGTGGGTAATATTTAGCAACTAATCCTTCCACTGGAACCCATAAACTCAATCCAGATCCTTTCTCTATAGGATCAGGCAGAGAGAAAAATAGGAGTAGGAGAGAAGTTTATGTAATTCCTATGTCATCTCCCATTCTCTCCTTCCCTATATTCCTCCATAATATTTCAACAATGTGGCCGACGATGATCCATGCATATTGTTTCCATGCATATTGTTTAAAATTCATTCATTCAATTGTGCAAACCATTTCTTTAGTCTTTTCTTACTCCAACATTTTAGTAAGTAGGTGTATCAACTGTCAATTGTAATTCTGAATCAGTCCACTTCTTTGTGGGTAGTTATATGATAAGCCTATTCTATATGGTGCTTCTCAGACCATT